CAAGATTGAAGCTGGTCAGATAACGAACGAGTAAATGAAAACAGAATGAGGCGGAGAAGTGTGTGTGTGTGTGTGTGTGTGTGTGTGTGTGTGTGTGTGTGTGTGTGTGTGTGTGTGTGAGAGATTAAAATAGCCCAATTGCTTTTACAATAAATAAACATTGAATTTGTTTAATTGAATAGCAAAGGGGTTTAACGTTAGTGGCAGGTTGTGTGTGAGAGAGAATAAATAAGACAGCCCAATATTTAAAAAAATTGTTATTCTTTTTTCCCGCATATTTAGCATATTTCGCAACTTTCCGCATATTTCGCAACTTCCCGCCATTTCACCGCATAAAATCACATAAAAACCCCGCATGTTTAATCGCATAATCAAGGATTTTAGCCCGCATAATCAAGGAATTTAGCCCGCATAATCAAGGATTTTTGCCCGCGTTTTTCTGGAGGGTCTAATTATAATTAAATGTATTTATCACGGGGGCGGTCTCAAGTCAAGCTGGAGGTTTTCCCTTGAGCGAGGGCAGATCACGTACCAATCACGGCCCTCGCGTTTCAAACTGTCTGAAATTAAGTGCTACATCTGTATATGGCCAGTTGGCAAAATACTCTTTCTTAATTATAAAAAAATGCCACGTTTCCTGACTGTATATGTTGTTCTCGTTTCTAAATAGCCAGCACTTCAATAATTAGAAATACAAACACACACTGTTTTGCTTTAGATCAACTTCTGTTTAATTGGTCGCAACCCAAAAGAAAGAGAAAACAAAAGGTTATTTAACAAACTGAAGCCATCTTAACATCATATGCTTCATCCATCACAAGAAAGCAAATCTGAAGGTTATTTCCCTCTGACTAATAATAATGCCAGACTGTATAGGGACATCGCTTTTGTGCTTCTTCAGTGTCATTGTTTCTCCTCATTAGTATCATTCGTGGCCATTTGGATATGAAAACGTGTCATGCTCCAGAGTATTCCGGGTCTCAATCTACTCACGTTGTTGAGTTGAGTCAAAGCCAGCTGAAGTTGAGAGAGAGGAGTGATGAAGCGCTGAACTGAAACATGTCATTTAGAAGTGGAGAATGATGTCGGCACCATTCTGTCAGGAGCAGGTATACTTAGAAGTAATCGTTCCTACTCATTCTGTATTTATTTGTTTAGCTCTGAAGCACACGCACTATGATGTGAGTATGAATCAAAGTAAAGACATGGTGGAGAGGATGGGTGGTGGTGGTGCTACAGTGACTCCTGTTGGTATGTTGGTATGCAGATGGAGCTTCAGATGGTCCTAACAACAAGTTTACACAACATGTCTAAGATTAAATTCCCCAACTTGATTTAGAAAATCTGTAGTTTAAAAGCAGAAAGGAGTTACTGATAACATCACACATACTTATGCAAGGATTTATGAAGGGCTTTAAAGATAGGCTAACAACCAATAAAGATTAAAAACATTATTTACTAACAATTATTAAATCCATTAGTGAGAGATATATTCTTTATAAAGGATGGTACTCTGACACATAACTGCCGTTATGCTAAGGGTTCAGAAGAATACCTTCATTCTTACATCAATTTTTCTCTTACAGCCTTTGTTGATTGGATGTATTTCTCTTAGACTGTCAGAACGACATCAAACTCTTGCACATGTATCACAGCCTTTATGCTACAACACTTCCTGTTGAACAAGTCCAGGCCTATGACCCACCATTTCTCTCTTTCACTTCTGCTAAACACATGCCTATTCTTTGCTTTGTCTATCACGTCAGTCAAAGATCAATCAATCTGACTGGTGGTAGTTGCGCGAAACATTCTCAAGTGCATATCTCTGAGCACTGAAAGGAGAAAGGATTTAAAAGCACCTTTTCTATCAGATATGATAAGGGACACGAATGCTGCTGAGATCTGTGGACATGATACACACACACACACACACACACACACACACACACACACACACACACACACACACACACACACACACACACACACACACACACACACACACACACACGGATTTTGGATGATAATGAACAACTGAAGCCAGGAAACTCAAAACAAGGTTATAAATAATAATACCTGACTTAAATAATAACCGTCTTCTTGGTGTTGATGTGGGCCACATTAACAGAGGCTGTACGGCTCCAATAAATAACCTCTACAGGTAAAAGTCCCTCCTCACACAAAATGTGATGAGTTCTGTCCATTCAGGAAGCAGAGTGGATTAATGTCCAACATGTGTTTGCAGCAATGATGGCATTTGAGCGAGACAAACATCCTGATATGGTGGCAGCAGCCCTGAATCCTTACTTTTGTCCTACTTCTCTGATGTTTAAAAGCTGGGTCGAATTTTGGGGACATACATGCTCTTTTGGGGGGGGCTACAAAAATATGAGAAGGATAGTGTTTGTGTTCTGAAGTAGCTAAGAGATGTTAAAGATATAAAGTGCTTTACAATATTAGAGACGGTACTTGACCCCTGAATTATCTGTACGGATTAAATTGGCACAGACCCATTGCCAATCTTTATATTATACTCTATTAAACTATACACAGCACATGTATAGTCACTGATAGTGAGGACTCATAGAAATAAAACAATATTCCCTTTGTAATCATTGTCAAGAATCAGGTCATATTCAACAAGCAGATGTGGAGAGGAGAGGGATGGAGAGGAGAGGGATGAGGCTGGGTCTGCAGACAGACGCTCGGTCACTGTCCACATTAGGGTGAGCTCTTCACTCGCTCCATCAATCGCTCTGAGCACTAATCTTAATCTTATGTGACAGGCTAATCTAAACCTAAATCTATATTTTGCTGGGAATGGTCCGATTCCAACAGGCCCCATAAAACATGTGGTAACCTAAGCATTTTAACGTGGGAAGAGCTTTGAAACTCTGAAACACATCATTTCGCAGACTTTGTATTTATTTATATTTGTTGGACATGTGTACAAACTGTAGCTAACGTTTGTCGCTTAAATTAGATAGTTCATTTATGGTATAGCAAACATCTGCCTTCCGGTTATTGAAATGTCTTTCAAACACTTGGTAGTACTGTACTGTTGCCTTGTCTTGCTAGCTATTTGTAATTGTTGTGGAATAAACGACATACATGAAACTACAAATGTAAGACATGACAAGGACAGCTAACCAAAGCTGAATATGATAGCTGCCTCTATGTCCAGTTACCTGTCCAGTTTGGGTCCAACATGCAGACAGAACTTGAGGAAAGACTTAAAGAATACGTTCCCCATATACACAGGAAGGAGATGTTTGTTAAACATATTCATTTATTTTTGCTGCTCTCATGATTTTATAACATCGGATCATAGGACCATAGAGCTCAACAGGGAGCTGTTCACACCATCGTAATATCATCTATACAAAATGATCATTTATCAAAGTTGTTACAGCTAACAAGCTTTCACTTACTCCAGGTGGTTTTAAATGGGCTTTGGGTCATTTCCAAAAGTGAAGTGTTGCAGGGGCTGCTTGGCTTTTGTGGCCCTGGCACCAGACTGATATGAGGCTTACTAAGAGACATTTATTACCTGCTATTGATCCTAACCCAGGACAGAAAACTGACCTCAGAAAATATCTAAAGAGCTTGTTAGACTGGAGAGCTTTTCCCCCTCTTCAGAAACTCGTATTTAAATGAAATGATAAACCATTCTGAGAACAAATACCAGAGGGAGTAAACCAGTACATAAAACAGGAAAGAAGCTTCCGCTCAATCTCATGTTCACCTTGGCTAGTGTGTCAGTGGTTAGCTAGCCAGCTACACTAGTTTAGCAACAAGCCTTGCTAGTCACTTGGCCTCGCCACTTCCTGCTGCGCCAGGCTTATCACGGACGAGAGGACAAAGTGTTGGAGCCAACTTACTCTTCTGACGTTAACAATAAATAAGAGAAATGAAAACAAATTGAAGCACTATCATCGTCACATGGTTCTTTGGTTGACGGAAATAAAGGGTGACCGGATATACTGGTGGTCCCTCTGCCCACAGGTGATTATGCATATATCAAATACACCTCCCACATTTAGGTTTATTGTATGTAATAGGTTGGAATAGAGCAAGCATATGTTTAATCTTAAATAAACTTAATACAAGAGACATCTTTGTGACAGCCATCCCTTTGCCAATTTAATTGCATTTCATAAGCCCAAGGACATAAATGTTCTATTCGAGTCTTTTCTCAATGCAGACTGTGCTCATGAATAACAATGTGAAGCAGACAGATTCTGAGCGGACACAGATGTGGTGTTACAAAAAGGGAATGCACTTGTGTGTTTATAAGGACTTTCTGATTGCCAAATAGCAACACACACACGCACAAGGAATGGAAGAGTAGAGAGGGGGCGATGTAGAGAGGGCCAGATACAAGTGTTTTAACACTTTAACACAACGCAACAACCTGAGACTAGTGTGGGGGAGTCATAAGGGTGACAGAGGGAGTGAAAAGGAAAGGGAGAGAGATGGAGAGATCAACAAACGTATATGTAGGAGAGAAATAGTGCAACAGAGATAAGTAAAGTCAGAGACCTCTCTCAGCATGGCAGAGAGGAGGGGAGAGAGAAGGTAAAAGACAAGAGGAGGAGAGGAAACTGGGATTAAGGGGGAGAAGAGGACAAAGAGGTGAGATAGCAAAATAGAGGAAGAATTGAGACAGAAGAGCAGTAGTGCTTTCATGAGTATGGCTGTGGAACTCCATATCCTGGTCTGTAGATGGGTCTCCCTGTGGGGGACTGAGAATTGGAATACGGGGGCCCGGCGGGGTAGCTGTAGCCCCCATAGCTGTAGGAGGCCGGGTAGGGTGCGGGGCCAACATGAGAGTGGCTGGGGGTGTACTGGCCAAATGCTGAGCCTGGGTGTGGGGCAGGGAAGGAGGGCTGGGTGGGGTAAGGGCAAGCAGCTGGATCCGGAGGCCCAAATGCAGGCCTGGGGCCAGAGAAGCTCCCCGCAGGGGTGAAAGGTGAACCACAACCTGGGTACGGAGGGAACTGCGATGGGGGGTTGGCTGGGCCGGAGCCTGATGCTGCCGCAGGGGGAGGGTTGGGTTGGGAGACAGGGTAGGGACTGTAGGGGAGGCCAGCAGCGCCCCCTGCAGACGAGGAGGCAGGCTGCGAGGCGTTCTGGTAGCTGGAGGACTGAGGTTTGGAGTTTGGCTGCTGCGGATTTGATGTTGTTGCCGTAGTTGTCTGTTGATTCCATGGGGAAGGTTTGGCAACGGGGTCTTGGTTGATGCCTATTGAGGAGGTCATGGCGTTGGGATTGCCATCGCTCCTCTGTCGTAGGATCTCCTGGAGTTTCTCTATCCGCACTCGTCTTTTGTGAGCGAGGGAGCGCAGGGAGAGAAAGCGATCCAGGAAGAAGTCCAATGGCAGAGAGCCCTCCAGAAACTCATCAGCGAGAGCCTGCACACAGACGCACAACAAGGGACAGAAACGCTTACTGCTAAGCAGCTAATCCGAGTAACAAGTACTGAACTCCCCCCAAACAAGTTCTCAAAAACTCCTCCCCCCACCCAGGAACTTCTCAGTTTGTCTCCTGACGGCCTAACAGGCTGCTCACACAGCAAGAGGCTGCCAGTGAGAGAGGTTCCATGTCCTATCTACTTTCTGGTCTTAATGCTCAGAGGAACAGTGTGTACCCCTGTGCTCCTGTGGTGGACTGGGTTCTCCTTAGTGTGTATTTTTGATCCACACATATTTGTTTTCCGTTTAAAACCTCTGCACCTGCAAACACAACCCGCTTCCTGTGCACGGATCGATGTGCATTCGTGTGTGAGTTTTTTGAGACTCCCCTGAGGCTAACCCGATTCGTACTTGTAATTTTTTCTATCTATAGCCAATCACATGTCTCCTCAATTCTAAGCCAATCACATGAGCGCACCCCCACGAGGGTAGATTTCTTGCGTTCATGACGTAGCGCTTCATGTACGCATTTTGCGCAGTCCGGAGCTGACAGGTCCATGGAGCCTGCCTGCAGGCGCTAATCTCAGGACACCTCCACTCTCAGTACATTGCCACTTTCCGAACAGGAAATGCACGCAAATACAAGCCTTTATATTATTAAGGTACAGCGCCACTTTCCGAACCATTGATGAATGCTTGTGAGTACACAAAAACGGCAGGCAAAACCGTTTTAAATGTGTGTTTCCTGTATGAAGAATACAGTTGCTTTATTTATGTCTGTATGAAGTTGTTGTGAGTGTGGAGGGAGCAGCTACAGGTTAGCTTAGCCTAATCAATCAGTGCACTACGAAACCAGTGCTAGACAGTGAACTGTCAACGGGGGGGAGCCCCGCCGGTCATTATTAA